TACATGAAAAGTCGTGAACGATGCGAAGTACCTGACAGGCTGACACTAATATCACACATGCAAATGCAACATGATACAATGTATCCTACAGGCTACTGCTAATGAATGCACTGGCACCACATGTCGAAAAAAATACAAGAAACAGTAGTCTACAAGTCGTGTCGTAGCTGCCTAAATCATACAAGAAAAAAAAAACTGTACAGTCTGAACTCAGTCTGCTGCAACCAACGACACTCTACGAACACCCTACTGGCACCAAAATCATACTCTACGAACACCCTACTGCTACCAAAATCATACACACCAACAAGTAAAGCACGCACACAACCACTGAGTGACGACCAAAAAAAGTACGACCGCACAACATGACGACGTACAATGCGAGTAGGGGAGAAGCGGAGTGTTGGCCTCATCGGTCAACGACCCTTCTTCTCCTTCCCGCTGTGTCTCCTCGTACCCCCTCGAGTGCCGGATGTCGACCTCTTCCTCCCTCGTGAGGATGAAGAAGTCCGTGCAGCGGAGCGTCTAGATGCGCGCGTCGGTGGGGGTCCTGGGGGAGGTGGGGGCTCATCGTAGTCGTTGTCGTCGTCACCATCGGAACCGCTCCTGCTCTCCTCCTCTCCCCCCTCCTCGCCCTCATAGTCCTCGTCCGCCTCCCGCACAGCCGCATCCGTATAAGGATCATCCTCCTCGATGGTGACTGGGCCTCCTCCCCTCCTCAACACAGCAACCCTCGCACTAGCCTCTGCAATGGTCTGCTCACGGCGGGATCCACGAGGCATCCCCAACCCCTCCGCCCCCGAACTCTCTCCAAGTGCTGCGCCTCCCTCTGCAGGCACAGGGCATGGACAAGGAGGCACTCCATGCTTGCGTGGAGTCTGCTCCTGCACGGCACGCGTCGCTGCTCTCAGAGCGTACTCCAAGGTCTCGGTGGACACTCCTCTGCCGCAACCTCGCTGAGGCTCACAACCTGATGCCGGTACCTCCCTCGCCGCGGTCGTCCTGGCGCCTCCTCCTCCCAAGCCCAGCTGAAGGCGTGCAGTGTGCTCCGTGACACGGCGGGTGGAATCCAAATCTATGTCTGTCCTCCCGAATATCATCGTGTCACACACGTCCTGTTGAACTGCTGTCGTGTCACGAATCCTACATCTCCCAGGCGTGTGTGGGGATCGAGAGCCTCTGCCTGTGGGCGACGATGATGGATCACCTACAGGTGCTCTGGAAGGAGGGGGTGGCATGTCTCCTGTGCGTGGCGCTGTCTCCGTCACGCCACCTGAAACCCCTGGAACATGTCCCACGGTATGTCCTCCGGTGGAGGTAGACCCAGACCACACGGGCGATGCAAGACCCCATGGAACCGAAGGGATCGTCTGCCATGCTGGATGCTCGAGCCTCCGGTCGAAGATCCGTCGGTCCAATCGAGTAACATCGCCCACAACCTCTCTCGCCAACTCCTCTGCATCCAAATGACGACGGACGTCCTGCGGAGCAAAGTGGCTAGGAAGACGTGGGGGCACAACCACCAGCTCGGACCCCAAATCCGTGATAACGGGAGGTGGCACACCATGCACTGCCATCTGAACTGCCTGCGGCTGTCGGGCCTAAACCAAGTGCAGTCCCGAGAACGGAACGACTGGACCCGTCACTGTCTCTTGGACCTCGTGCCGTGCGTCTATAGCCCCCTCGACTCATCGCTGTCCTGCCTGCACAACCTTATCCACCGCCTGAGGCCGTCCCTCCACAGCAATGCCTCTTCTCCACCCGGCATAGCCTCGGGTACCGGCTCTGCTGCCACTCCCTCCGCAACGTCCTCCCCTGCCACCACCCCACCCTGCACACAATCCCCCCCTATCTCTCGATGCCAGGCCTCCTCTACGGCCCGTGCGAACGCCTGAGCACGCGGGTAAGTCGATGCCAAAAGTCGAGCCCTCTCTCGCTCCATGATGTCGTGTGCTGCATCTGGAGACTCAGTCGTCGTCCTCTCTCTCGCGGTCTGCGTCGAAGTCTGCCCTGGCGCCTCGTCCCTCGATGGAGCCCGGTCCGTCGATGTTGCCCCGCCGCAACTAGGTGGAAGGTCCATCGACAAATCTAAGTCTAAGTGGGTCCCCATCTCCGAATATGAAATCCCAAACCCCCTCGCCACACCCGGGGTCATACCTGCTATGACCGGATCGAGCTCCTCCGTGAGGAACTGCTGCATGAGGCGCTCGTCATCGCCCCCACGCTGCACCTCGGCCTGTGCGGCTATCTCCTCCTCCACTGCAGCTGTCGACGGTGCCTCCTCCTCCTCCACTGCTGCTGCCACCTCAACCTCCACTGCTGCTGCTCCTCCACCTGCTCCTCCTGCTGCTGCCACCTGCCCCTCCACTGCTGCATCTCCTCCTGCCGATGGTGGATCCTCCTCCAGCACTGCTGCTGCTGTTGCTGCTGCTATCTCCTCCACCACGACTGCGATCGTCGGGTCCGGCACGGCTGGTGCCACCGAACTCTCCACTGCTGCTGCCAACGGTGCCCCCTCCTCCTGCAATATCCCTAGGGAAGGTGATCGTAACCTAAGCTGGCGAACTGCCCCGCCTCTGTGGAGAAGGCCGCACTGAGGCAAAGAGGACCCCAACTCCTCCCTGTCCGGCGATGGTGGTGCAGGACTCGGAGCAGGAGGTGGCGGCATGGACGAATCCCGCGTTGTCGGAGTGGGGGTCGTCGCCTGCGCCTCTGGGCCGCCTGTGGAAGCGACCTCACCGAATGGGCCCCAAAAGTCCTCGTCTCCCCCCAGCATCTCCCTCTCCGCCCGGTCCGCTGCCCGTCCTGCAGTGTGTGCCCTCATCTCCTCGGAGTCGGGATCCTCGTGCGTCTCGTCGATCTTGCGGGGAATGCGGAGCGAAGGGTCATCTGCCGCCTCGGGTGCCGGCTCCTCGTCTGAGTCGTCCTCCCTGGGGTAGGGCCGAAAAATGCAAGCACGTCTATCGAAAATGGCATCAGCCGATGGTGGTGCGGACGCCCCGATGGGATCCCGGGTAACAAGTGCAACCTGACGAGCAATCTCCTCCTCCGTCATCCCCCTGCGAGTCCCCAAGCGCACAGGCTCCAACTCGAGTCCTGCCTGGCAATCCAGCATGCCCTCGTCCCGCTGCCATGGCAACACATAACCGCATCCAGCCCGCCGACACTCAGTCAACCGCACATTTACGGTGATCTCAACGAGTTGAACGACCTTCTCGAAGGCCAACTGGTTGCGCTTCTTCGTGTGAATGCCCTCGTGGACTGCCCAGTTCCTCTCCGCTGGAGAGGCGCAAGACCACATGTGCATCACCCGAAGAGCGCAACGCTGCAACTCTGGCGCACCCGACCCGAACTGAGACCACCAAGACGCGCACTCAATCGTCTCGCTGTCCTCGCTGCACGCGCGCCCACGAGCACGCCCCTCCGGCCCGCCCCAATCCCCGAACCTGCCCTGCTGAATGTGGAAGTCCTCAAACTGCCGACATGCAAGGATATACTCCGCACCCTTCAACTCGAATCCCGTCTGCATCAGAATGTACCTCTTGGCTTGCCCCACAAGCCAAGCATCGTACCGCTCCACCTGGCCCGAAAAGTAGCGAACGTGTCGCCTGCGGGGGTTCAGTAAGAACCCTGCGCAGTGAGCCGGCTCAAGCATGTGTTGTGTGCGAGCCTGCACACGCCTGATGATCTGGTCGGCGAACGACTTCCCCAAAGGGGCGCATGCGTCCGTGACACGGCGGACAAGATCCTGCGTCCACTCAATCATGAGGGACATGTACTGTCCTCCACGATCCATCCGCCTGAGCAACTCCATGATGAGTCGGTGGAACTCGGACGAAGCAGTTTGTCACAGCCCTTCGTTTGTTGTCCTCTTCTCCCTCTCTGCCTACGGGTTTCTGGGCAGCTCTCTGCTTGACCATATATATAGGGGATAATAGGGCCCATAATAGGGGTAATTGCAGAAACAGCACGTTTTGGAAGTTTCGGAGCAGAAAAATGTTTTACAGGCCTCTGCCTGTCTGCGTGTCGGCCTGTCTGTCTGTCTGTCTGTCTGTCTGTCTGTCTGTCTGTCTGTCTGTCTGTCTGTCTGTCCGTCTGTCTGTCTGTTTCACTCCCTCTCTCTCTCACATGAATACACACACACCTACACCCACACGCATGGCATCCCCACAAGCCCTGTGTTGCCCAATCCCTCCCCCCTCCCCCCACTCCACCCCACCCTCTCTCTCTCTCTCTCTCTCTCGTGGACAAGTGTGGTGAATTTTTAGAGAAAGGAAAAAATTCTGGAAAAAAGACAAATACAAAACAGGACTGCACACACACAAACACACACACAGTGAGTCCTTAATATGCGTCCTGGGCAGACTGTTGGGGTTCACCCCCTTGATGACTCAGTCATAGTCGAACCCAATAGTTAACAGTCTGGCTGAGTCATGTTTTTTTGGTTCTTTTTTATTGAGCTCTGTATAGCGTCCCTGACAACACACAAGCACATAAACAGTCTGGCACAGTCGTGCTTTTTTTTTTTTTTTTGTGGAGTTGTAAACATCATACATGTAGGTGTTACACGACAGAAAGTCGTGTGAAAACTAGCAGAACGGTACCAGAACCCTTGCATACCTCAGGTGCCCGACATGTCTGCTTCCGGAAACAATGCAGCTTTCACGGGGTGCTTCCGGCCAGTTATGCTTTCATGTCTGTGGCACTCGGCACCTTTTGTGCTCTGCATCACTTCCGTGTGTGCTTCATTGATTATTTTAATTGCTGTGCTGGAGGGTTTACTCTATATATTCTGTTCTCTTCCTCTTCTCCTTTTTCTCTTGTGCATCTGTCTTGTTCTCGTCTTGTTCATTGCATGTGAGTGCTTGCACTTATGATCGGTATGTTGCTTTACCGTAACTCATTATGGGCCTCACTCCGTATAATAACTCAGCACAAATGTATCTGGATCATAACTGAGATTAGAAACATTTACCAGTGGGTGCCACCAGGAAAGAGTATTGTATTTTATAGACTGCAAAGAGCAGCTACCCACCCTATGTGGCTGAAGAGTCCATTTTTTTGGTACAAGTACTTTTCATAACCAGCCATGAGTTGGGGTCCTGATGGACAAAAATTACCTCCCGATTGAATAACTGTAAATTACCTGCTGCAGGTCAGGTAGATGATGATGCCACAGAGCACTCATGCTTTTTAAAATAACCAAAAAGAAAATATAAATTGAAAGATCGCTATGATCATCACTCCGAGCTGAGCTGACGCACCCCTGCGCTACGTGACACCCCCAGCCTAGGCCGCGGGCAAATAGGCCGCCGCTCTTGTGATTCCACGTCATTTCGAACAACTTTCATCAGCTGGAAGAGCACTGCATATTACTGAAGATAGGGACATCACGGACGCCAGCTTCAATCTGATTGGGCAAAAAATGGATACCGGGGTTAGGGTAAGGGAAACTGGGGTTTAGGGTTTAGGGAAGCCTGGGAGGTTGAACGGTGTTCGGGTGATGTGTTCCACTTCGGGCTCGGGTCCCATGGGGTAAAAAAAAAACACAGAAAAATAAAGGGGAAACTCCCCGGGAGTCACAGAAATGAGTTATAACTGCACTATGGGCCAAGACACAGTTTCGAAATGCAGTTCGGGCAATGTATACAACCCAGCTTTCTGGCCAGGTAGGGTGCCCGGACTCCGGAGTGCAATTGCAAATGGTATGTTGCCCCATAGTGCAATTATAACTCGGTTTTGTGACTCTACTGAAGTTACCCAAAACAGAAAAGAATCGATGTATTGTTCTACTGACGAGGAGCAGTGTGAGCTCCCTGCGCTCAGCCCGGAAAGATATACAGTAAGTAGCGATTTGCTACCCAGCCCCACATGCCCCAGCTACCCCAGCTACCCCAGCTACCCCACCAACCCCACCAACCCCACCAACCCCACCAACCCCACCAACCCCACCAACCCCACCAACCCCACCAACGCCGTATAGATAGTAGTAAAGACGGGGTAAGTAAGTTCATGTCGCCCTTGAGTATCAAATCATTCAAATGGCCAAAAAAAACACGCGCCGGTGGTGTCAGACCAGATGTCATATTTACAGGGGTCGGCCGTCGTGTCGGGACTCGGGAAAAAAAAAAAAAAAAAAAAAAAAAAAAAAAAAAAAAAAAGAAAAAAAAAAAAAAAAAAAAAAAAAAAAAAAAGAAAAGTGGCGAGCGCTTTTTTTTTTTTTTTTTTTTTTTGGTAAGAGCAAGATTCATGATATTCCATTACAGATTAAGTATTGAGGCCGGGGTACTCACAGTCTACCTGGGGAAATGAACTACTGGGAGCATTACCCAGCTTGGCTTCTGGTAGGTCTCTGCATATCAGACCTTCCTGATCCTCTAAGCCTGAATAACTGCCAGATCTGAATGTGAACCCCGAACCAGATGGAGGTCAATCTAGAAGAGAACCAAAAGCGTCGGTTCTGTTGTGCTGGAAAGCAGGTCCAGCGTCCCCCATATCTTTTGAAATCGATCTATTTCTTTCTTGCACAGATATGGCAAGCTCTTTCTAGGTGAATCAAAATTAGAAGGTCTGCAACCCTTAACCCGTTCCGTCTTACCCGCCGTCTCATATCTGCCAGTCTTCACCCGCTTGCAACCATGTATTCTTCTTTCTGCAATGTCCGTCCTGTTCCGACTGTTCTCCCTGCACCAGGGGGGTTGGGCGCTTGTCATGCCATTCTCCCCGTGTTCCTCTCTCTCTCTCTCTCTGAGACTCTCTCTCTCTCTCTCTCTCACACACACACACACACACACACACACACACACACACATATGCACGACATGTCCTCTAGTTGATCACTTGGACTCACCCCCTATTTCTAAACTACCAGAAGCTCTGCGACTCTAAATGAACTAACTCTGGTATTCACTACAACCCAATTATTCTGTGTATTCTATGCTAATCCTCCCTGTTCAGCCTTTTTTTACGTTATCTTACTCTCTCTCTCTCTCTCTCTCTCTCTCTCTCTCTCTCTCTCTCTCTCTCTCTCCCCTACCTACACACACAAACACACATCGTTTCTTTCTCGTGAAGAATTCCCATTGATTTGAAATGATCTATTCCGATTCATCAGATGAGCTAAGGGAAATCTTACGGCACCCATCCTGCGATCTAGTTAGACCTCCTAGCCACTTAGTTCCCCCCTTGTGCGGGTCAAACAGGCTGCGCAAGCTCTTGCTGCTCCTCCAGTTCACTGGCTGCCTTGAGTTCGAGTTGTCGTACTGATTCTTGAGCGATGTACGAGTGCAGTCCAGGAAATACATATTATCTACCATAGACGCCTCACCAAAAGAAAGCACCTTTGATTTGCATGCGTAGATAGAGGCTTATCAAACTCCCACTACGAAACACAGGAGAAATCTCCAGAATGTAGTCTCTAAGGGACTGAACATGGAAATATACAATCCTACCTGTGTGTGCGTGTGTGTGTGCGCCTGTGGGGCCAATCAATCAATCAATCAATCAATCAACGGAAAAAAAAAGAAAAAAAGAGCTCTGTTTTTTTTATTTTTATTTTTTTTGAAATACCTTCACTCACCCAAACCCCCCCACCCAAAAATTAGTTTTTTTTTTTTGTTTTTTTTTTGTTTGAGGGGGTGGGGCTGGGGTTGCGCCGCCCCATGGCGCTTCCCAAATCCCAACCCCCCCTCCCCACTGGCCGCCATTCGGCCGCAAAGGCGCACGGCCGCGCGGACACGTCCACGGGTCTAGGCCGCGGCCGCGGATGGCCGCCGCCGAGGGGGATTCGTAGATAGTAAGGTCATAATTGGGGAGGGAAGAGGAAAGTCGTTCTCTGGGGCGACAGCCATGGGAAGGATCGAGGAGCACAATACTTGCCAGGTACTGAATTAGGGCCTCGCCACACAACTGTCGAAACGCCAAAGGAAAGAATGCATCTTCCTCAGAAAGACGGAAGATGCATCCTTTGGTGTTTATAGTAATCGATGCATTTTGCCACTTTTTGCGTGAAGATGCACTCATTCTTTTTTCGTTTCAACAGTGGTGTGGCAAGGCCCTTACTCTTCACAGTCTGGAGACAGCGCGAGAAACCTCGCGGCGTGGCCTTGTCTGCGTAACATCTAGTCGAGTCTGTTGTGGGACCTTGCCCACGTAAGCCACGCGTCATACTTGAGATCTGGGATTGAGCTCGCACTACCATCAATGGTTGATACTCCTCCGAGACGCCATCACCAACGACAGCGAGTTAGGGCCTCGCCACACCACTGTCGAAAATGCGATTTTCGACAGTTTCTCTTCGCCACATAGGCTGTCGAAGTCGGAGACGGAAAGAAAATTCGCCAGTTGTCAGGGAATGCTTCTCGACACCTCCTGTCGAAAGTTGTTGAACCCCCAGCCTGCTACTCCGATGCTTTCGACATTCCTCGGCTGCGCCATCGAGTTCTCCGAGTGGGGGTAAGGTCGGGATGGACTTATGCTTGTCGTACCCTCAGGCGCATTGGTTTTTCCCATCTTGCTTTCACAAGTGCATCCACTCTACAGTGCTGTGTGGCTAAAGGAGGGCAAACTGTCGAATGGAGGCTGTCAAATTTCTACTAACAGCCGTCGAATTTTATTGCCTTTTCCCATCTTGCTTTCACAAGTGCATCCACTCTACAGTGCTGTGTGGCTAAAGGGGGGCAAACTGTCGAATGGAGGCTGTCGA